ACAAGGTGTATGATTTGTTGAATGTAAAATTGCCCTGTAAACTTTCACTCAATCCACAATAAAAACTTTAAATACAAAAACCAAAACCAAACCAAAAGAAAACATAAAATTTGTTAAAAATGGGCACTTATTATGAGGGGACTTCAAAAAATTCGTGGAAAAATGGAATAGAAGGATAATGGAATTTTTCCACGAACTTTTTGAAGCCCTCTTGTGGCGCTCTTTGTTTCTGAGTGTTAGGATCTGTGTGTCACCTCAGTTACCAAATTCACCCTCCGGCTTCCTTGCCACTTCCACCTGTAGACTATGAATTTTAGAAGGACAAAGATGTGACTTTCAAACCAGCTTTATTTTCTTTCCTTCTCTTCCCTTTTGTTCCCCATTTGCCTTCCGTTCTACATTTTAGTGAAGAGCCTTTTCACCAAGCTGGGCTCAATCACATTCTTGGTCTTAACTTTGCTCAGGGTTCCTTAGCTTACTAGGGGTGTGTGCCTAGATTAACTTCACTTTAATCACAGCCGTGGCAGGGAATACTACCATTATTCTCATTTTACAGAAGACACTGAGGCTCAGAGATTTGGGCAATTTAACCAAAGTCACACAGGCAAGTAAGTGGTGGAGGCCAGACGTGTTTCTCCTCTGCATTTTCTGCTGAGCTGGGATGTGGGGAGGGGCATCCTGCAGCCCAACTCCTCCAGTTGGTGTTCAGGGGCCCACATGACTCTGTGGGGGTGGAAGTAGAATGACCCACTTTTGAGAGAGTCCAGAGACCATTACTGGGTTACAATGAAACGGAGCTTGCTGTTGAGCTTGTAGTTTCAACAGTTTTGACAGTGTGGGTAGCCCCAGGCCCCCCCTCCCTCACTCCTGCCCCTGGAAGAAAGAAGCCAGAAAGTAGCGCCTTTCAGGTGCTAACACCCATGAACTGTGAGGGGCTGAGGGGAGAGAGCTCAGCAGAGGCCAGTGAAAACAACCAGTGGTCAGAGGAGATAGACTTGGACTTTGCTAAGCAATCACCTGTAAGAATAGGGTTGCTTCCAGCAAGTACAGAGCCCATTTTATCTATGGGCTCCAAGCAGCACTGGCTGGGACACAGGCTCAGCCTGGTATCCAGGCCTCTCAGCAGCGGGCAGAGTTGTCTGCACTTAGTCTATGCCTAGCAGAGCCACATTCTGCACTGGAGATGGCTCATTGTCAGAGCAGTTCTGCAGACATGGTTCCAATGACCTTGCTAAAACTCTGGATCTGAGTCTTCTGGGAATGAGGGTGGGAGTCTGTGGATTACCCACTGTCAGGCAGCTCAGTCCTAACCGTGCAGGTCCAAGGACATCACTGCTCAGGTTCACCAGGTAAACAGGTATCAGGTGGAAGCCAATTAAATCTAGAAAATGAATCTTGCTTATAGAATTTCACCTCCAGGATTTCTTAGTTCAGCCTTTTGGCAAATCAGAGGGAGAATGGGTTATAAAAACAGCATAAGATTTAAAATCAGATCAGGGTTCATTCCTTTGGCAATAATTAGCTGTGCTGCTTTATGCGTAACCTCCCTGCTCTGTGCCCAGGTTTTCTTAACCAGATAGATAGATAGGTAGATAGATGGATGGATCGATTGATCAGTAGATCGATCGATCGACAGAGAGATAGACAGTAGGTGTCAAGTTGACTTTATAAAGTTGCCCAGTCCTGTGTCAGTCTATGATTTGTGGCTTGTTTGAGTCCATCACTGTGATTTATGCCAATCCACTGACCCAGGGGTCTCCTTGTCCCCTCTGGCCCTCTACTTCACCAAGTATGATAGCCTCCTCTAGTGACTAATCTCTCTGGAAGCCATGTCCCAAGCAAGTGAGTTTAACAGTGTCCTATTGTGTTCCATAATGTTTTAATTTTCTGATTATTGAAAGTAAGTCACCAGGTCTTTCTTCCTAGTCTGTATTAGTCTGAGAGCTCTGCTGAAACATGTCCTCCATGGATAACCCTGCTAGTATTTGAAATACCAGTGACATAGCTTCCAGCTGGTATCATAGCAGCATGCAAGCCACCACAGCAGGGCAAACAAGACACCAAACTTCAAAGTTGTGGTGATTACATGAGGTAATACAATGAAAACTGCTCTGTTAAGTCCCAATGCCATACCCATGGTACTGTTTATGTGTAACCTAAAGATGGCCTCTTTGTGAGTCTCTCAGCTTCCAAGACATTGTCTCCATTCAGTGCACAAGGAATGGCTTTAGAATGGTGGAATCCCACATCTTGGGGAATCTTTGTGGTCCTAAGAAGAGACCGAGCTCTGAGAAGTGTCAGGACCACTTGCCCAGGGTCTTCCATCTCTGGCCACATGGCTGGATGTGGTTGCCATACCCTTGCTCCAATGCTTCTGTACAACATGGAACCGGCGGCCATCACCACCACATAACCATCCAGAGGCCAGAATTGGGATGAGAGTTCTGCGAACCACATTTCAAACCTGATATTCTAACCAGAATCCTCAAAAGAAAAAGCCAAGAGAAAAATATGGCAAGTGTAAAAAAATATGTGGTGTAAAAAACCTTAAATATAACATACTAGTTACTGAGAAAGTTTTAAAAGACTTCAACATAACCTTGCTTTCATTTGCATTGGTACATACAGACGTGGTTCTTCCCCTAGCCATGTAAGCTCTGTTTACCCTCCAAATGGCCTGGCAGTACTCAAACAGACTTAAATCATGTATTTGTTACTTGGAATTTGGCTCTTAAGTTGTTGAAAAACTCTGAAGTAGATGTTTAGTCCAGGTGTGGCATTCAGCCTACGTGTGGTAGTTGCTATGTTTGGATTCTCTAAAACCCACTTCCAGTCCCATTTTCTCTAACAAATGGATTTTCCCAGAGCACTAACCTTAGATGTCCAGAGATAGGTCATCATTTATTCTTTGGGGCGCTGGGGGAGGGAGGGGTGCTGTGGTGGGTGACAAGAAGGTGGGGATGGAGACATGTGTGTTTTCCATATGAAAGAATGAAAGAATGGGTTCTGGCATCTCAGGAATCTTTGAGAGAGTCTCAGCTCAGACCAGCTGGGTCAAGGTGTCTCTCAGAGGCCTCCCGGGTGTGGGGGGGCAGGGTTACCCGTCCTAATATTTATATAGCCACCCTGATGTTTCCAGCCCTCTTGTAGGGGGTTAGGGCTAAGTAGACAGGCTCTGGGGTTCAACTAACTGCATAGGGGGCAACTTCAAAAAGTTGGTGGAAACATTCCATTATGTTTTAATTCCACTTTTCCATGAACTTCCTGAAGTCTCCTTGTATGCCAGGGCTCACCACAGGTGTTGAACCTTGAGCAAGTTCCTTTCCAGACACCAGTGTCCTCATCTATGAGATGGGCATGATCATGGAACCTTCCTTTGTATGGGGATAGCTTGGGATCTGGCACCTAGTAAACACTCACTGAGCTGCTTTGTTATGAGTGGAGTCCTGGGGTGGCGCCATAGGTTAATGCACTGGACTGAAAGGTCGGTTTGAATTGCAAGGTTGGAGGTTCAAGCTCACCAGCCGTTTCTCAGAAACCCTATACAGGGTCACTATGGGTCGGAACCAACTCAACGGCACTTAACAACAACAACATATTGTTACGAGTGGAGTCCTGGTGTGGTGCTGTAGGATAAAGCACAGGACTGCAAGATTGGCTTGAGCTGTAAGGTTAGCAGCTCAAACTCACCAGCCACTCCTCGAAAACCCTGCATAGGGTCACTATGAATCAGAACCAACTCTACAGCACTTAACAACAACAACAATTTTTATGAGTAACCTCTGCTAAGTGGGCAAGGAAAGGAGGCACAGTTCATACAGATTAATTTTGTTATTGATGAATTTGTTTTAGTCAGCTGACGCTGATGGCAGAAAACAGGTTGTTGGGTTATCAGAGAAAATAATCAGCTCAAGCAATTGGTTGTGTGCCATGGAGTCGGTTCCGACTCATAGCAATCCCATACAGGATTTCTGAGGTTATAAATCTTTACGGGAGCAGAAAGCCTCATCTTTCTCCCGCTGAATAGCTGGTAGTTTTGAACTGCTGACCTTGAGGTTAGCAGCCCAACTTGTAACCACTACACTACCAGAGCTCCTTCAAGCAATTATAGCTTTACATTATTCTCACTAAAAAAACAAAAAAGAAAAAGAGCCTGAGCTTGTCCCAGGTCTGTAGCTGAGTGTCACAGCAGCCTGGAGAGCATTCATACTAAAAGTGGAGGAGTCTGGGTTCACATCTTCAATAAGCCCTGTATCTGGAAACAAACCAGAGAGCAGAGTTGCGGGTGCTCACGCTTCAACCCTCAGCTGATCTGAGTACGTGAACATGACAACAGCCTTGGCAACAATAGCTCACTCCCCTGTTGTGAAACCACAGGGACCTTGACCTGTAAACACAGAGTACTACCTGGTCCTCTGGCTTCCCCTCAGCAGCACATGGAGTCACCTTCCCCTGTCCCTGGGCCCCAGAAGATGATGTTCTAGTGCCAAGGGGATCCCCATCCCGACTCAGCCCGCAGCCCAGACTCTGTATCACAGCCACTTGGGGTTGGCACCAGGGGGTACAGAGATCAGAGACCAACGATGGCTAAAATCCTGAAGCCCCTTGATCCTCCTGTGGACACATCTTTGTCACCTAGCCCTGTTATCAGTTACAACGGAGTAAATACATGTGTCAGAGTAGAACCATGCTCCACAGGCTGGTTTTTCTGAAGTAGACAGCCAGGCCTTTCTTCTGAAGTGCTTCTGGATGGACTCAAACCTTCAACTTTTAGGTTAGCTGCTGAGCTCATTAGTTCTATGTACTACCAAGGGTACAGGAGACCCTCCAGCTGAGTGACTCAACATGGGGCTGGGGTGGGCCTCAGTGGACAGGAAAGTTCAGGAAGCGGAGAGGCCTGCAGGCAATAGGACTTGCCAAATGGCTTGTGAAGGAGAAGCTCCTCCTGCCCATCCCTCACCCCTCCTCCCTCATCACTTGGCTCTGGTCCTGTCACTTACCCAGGGCGCCTTGGCAGATGTCTGTGCGGGTGGCTCCTCCAACAATGAACTGGGGATCAGCGCAGATCTCCTGGGAATAAGACCCACAAAATGCTGTCAGCCCACCACATGTTCATTTATAGTCGGGCCCATTCTCCCCTCCTCTGGGGAGATTGCTACACAGTCACGGTCAGAGTTCATGGTCAGTGTCCTCACCCAGCCTGTCTGCCCACCCCCATGGACCCAGCTGGGGGCTGTGGGTGATCCCCAATGAGAAGGGCAGAACTTAGACCACACACACTGCCAGCTGTGGTAGCATCAGGTCTGGTCCACCCATGGTGTGACGCCTCCCCATTTCCACACTCTTACCCTCTTTGTTCTTGCACATGATTTGTTCTGCTAGCACAAAATTCCTTCCTCTCCTACTCTACTCCCATTGTCCTCGATTTTGACTCAACTGCTATGCTACAGGACTGCCCCACAGCATTTCCTAGGCTACAATCTAATGAATAAACTGCATCTGCCCCAAGGGATATTCCATTCTCTCTATTGGGCAGATGCAGCTTAGGGCACTCTTGGTTTGGAATCAAGTTGGGGAGTGTCAGCCTCTTCGGGAGCTTCAGCTGCAGCTCCCCTGAGGCCATGTGGGCTTGGGACATCTGTGACACCATTCATCAACTCAGCCAAGACCCCCTTGGCTTCCTGCACAGAGCTTATCACCAGGCATGGAAGATGCTGGGGACATGCCTCCTCCTTCAAAGGGGCTCAGCCAAGCAGATGGCTCCTCCTTCCGGGGAATCCCACACAAGCCTGAGTCCTCCTCCTCAGAGTGTGAGACCAGCTGCACGCAGGGCCTTTGTGTCATAGCCCTCCACTGTGGCACTGTGGGTTAATGCGCTAGACTGCAAAGCCAGTTTGAACCGCAAGGTCAACGGTTCAAGCTTACCAGCTGCTCCTCAGAAACCCTATTCTACAGGCTTGCTATGGGTCGAAGCCAATTCAACAGCACTTAACAACAACAACAAGGAGTCAAGAGTCACCTACTTAATATGTACAAATGTTTAAAAAGTGAGCCACTTTGGTGAGAGCTCTGGGAGAACAATGAGGCTTTCTGTTCCTGAAAAAATTTACAGCCTTGGAAACCCTACATGGCTGCCATGAGTTGGAATTGACTCAAAGGTATGTAACAACATAAAAAATAACAAGACCTTAAGGAACTCTGGTAGCGCAGTTGTTAACTCAATGGGCTGCTAACCACAAGGTCAACAGTTCGAATATATTATCTGTTTGGGGGGAGAAAGACAAGACATTCTGCTCCTGAAAAGATTTACAGCCTTGGAAACCCTCTATAGGGTTGCTATGAGTCAGAACTGACTGGACAGCACTTAATAACAACAATGACTGTCTTATCTTTCTCCACAGAGCAGCTGGTGGGTTCAAATGACTGATCTTTTGGTAAATGCACTTAACTGCTTCACCACCAGGGGTCCTCTTCTATGTCTAACCTTATCTCAGAGCTCATGCCCACCCCTCGGCTTCATAGTCCAGCCCTCACTCGCCACTGCCTTGACTCTGATTCCCAGAGTAACTGTAGCTCCGCAGCTTGGTCTACAATCGTTAGCTGTGTTGGGGAGCGTCTGGGTCTTCTATTGTCTTTTTAATATGTACACGGATTGAGGGCCCGGGAATACTTCTGTCGATGCTGTTGAGTAAGCCCGTGATTCCATACACAATGGGACAAAATGCTGCCTGGTCCCGTGCCATCTCCATGTTCGATTGCAGGTTACACCTTTGTGATCCATAGGGTTTCCATTGGCTAGTTTTTTGGAAGTAGATAGCCAGACCTTTCTTCCTAGACTGTCTTTGTCTGGAAGCTCTAGTAAAATCTTCTCAGCATCCTAGCAAGACATGAGCCTCCACTGATAGATGGGTGTTGGCTGAGCATGAGGTACACTGGCCGGGAATCAAACCTGGGTCTCCTGTGTGGAAGACAGGAGCTCTGCCACTGCGCCACCAGTGTCCTCGGAATGCTTCCACGGGGCCCAATAACACTTGGGGCATCCATGTCTTGTGTACCAGCTGCATACCATACAATGTGCTTGGTACACTATCTCAAGCCACCTTTCAAGGACAAGACGGGCATGCGCCCCATTTCACCGATGAGGAAGCGCGCTCACAGAGGAAAAGCAAAGTGTCCAAAATTACATAGTTCCTGAGTGACAGACAGTACAGGGATATGTGAACTAGCTGGTCTTGACACTAAAGCACACACTTTCCACGCCTGCACTGCCTCTCACTGACTCCTCCCATGTCTCCAAGAGTGTTAGAACCTCAGGGGCGATGGTTCCAGGCAGCCTGGTGCAAGGAGCCTCACACAGTAGCCCTCTCTGGGTGTGTTTCCTGATTCCTTAGTACTCCACCCCAAAGCCACAGGGAAATCAGGCATAAATCTAGGCTTCTCTTGGTGTGGCTCTCTGAGCACTGCAGATGGGTGCCACCACTCCACGTCCCTCTGTGAGCCCCTCTTTGTCAAGTAGGAGAGACCTGGAGGAAGCCTGAGTCTGCCCTGGCCCGGTCTACAGTGGAGCACATTCTTGCCGGCCTCTGCATTCTCTTCCTGTTCAGGTCAGTGGGCTTTGGGCTGACAGAGCAATGACGATGCTTTTCTGCTGAGGAAATGAAGCCAGCATTGCTGAGCAAAGCCTGCCAGTCAAGCACTTATCCAGCTGGTGGAATAAATGGGCCTTGGAGCTGGGAGCTTCTTTATTATAATTATATTGATACTCCTCAGTGTGCCAGCCACTCACACCAGAAGGATTTCTCCATTATGTTTCAGAAACTTTCTCATGCCCCTGGCAGCCTCTCAAGAGAAGCCAAAGTTCAGAGTGGCACACAGAAGTGCTTTGGAAAGCTGAATACTGTTGTGCTTAACTTACTGGGTTAAATACGGTATGTGACAGGGGCTGAGAGTTTGTGAGTCAGACAGCCTGAAATTAATTCCTGGCTTTGTCACTTTGTTATATGGGCTCTCTAAGCCTGGACAAGTTCCTTAAGCCTCAGTTTCCTCACCTGTAAAACGGGGATGATGATGCCAATGTACCTACCACAGAGGGTTGTTTTGAGGTCAAAATAGGTAACTATTATTCTTATGGGGTCCTGGTGTGGCACTGTAGGATCAGCACTAGACTGCGAACCACAAGGTCAGTTCAAACTTACCAACTGCTCCTTGGGAACCCTATACAGGGTCGCTATGAGTCCGAACCGACTTGACAGCACTTAACAGCAACAACATTATTCTTATAAAAGGAGTTGATGATAGTAATTACCGAACTTGGAAGTGCAGGTTTGGGGCACAGTTCACACAACTAAATATAAGTGACTCCGGGGCTCATTTTCCTCAGGGGAGAATCTGAGGAATAAAAATACCTGCTCTTACTCCTCTCCTAATTGTCTGTCAGTTTGTCCTACCTTGGTGACTTTGCATGTTGCTGCAGTACTGGAAACTATGCCCCCGCATTTCAAACACCAGGAAAGGTGCCACGGTGGAGAGGTTTCAGCAGAGCTTCTAGACTAGAGAGAAAGGCCTCATATTCTACTTCTGGAAATTAGTCAATGAAAGGCGGATGGATCAGAACAGACTCCTATCCAGTATAGTGCTGGAAGATGAATCCCCTAGGTTGGCGGGCACTCAAAAGGCACAGTGGCTACAACACTGCACTGTCACAGCCCAGTGACTGTGGATGGGGCACAGGACCGGGTAAGGATCACCAAAGGTTGAAGCCCTGGCTCCTGCTTCATTGATGTTACCTTAACAACAGTGCTGGGAGCATCCAGCATGCCCTCCTGGAGCAGGCCAGCTCTTTCCCCTCACTGTGCCCCACCGACCAGTCCTCCGCCTCACCATGACACCAGTCACTTTCTGCTTTACTCTTCCTCCCATCTCACAGTGCTGTGAGCCCCCCTGCCCATGACACGCCAATCCCACTTCTCCACCCAAGGCTAACCGGCTCCCTGCCCTTCCAGGAACCCACATTTTCACTTCCTCAGAGCCGGTGACACAGTTTCTTTCTCTTGAATCCATTCCTTTATGGGAACTCAACACAGAACCCATTCAAGGTGCTGTCATCAACCACAGCTTCCATTCTACCATGGTCTCTCTCTACAGGTGCACTTCTTAAATTAGTTAACCACAGTCTTCATTTCTCGAACCTTACTTTGGATTACATAAGAGTCTCCAGCCTACTGCAATCTGACTTGTATCCTCAGCTTTCCACTGAAATGACCCTGCTGAAGTCAACAATGACTTGCCAGCATCCAAATCTAGTGGAAACTTTTTGTTTTCCTTGCCTGACCCCGGAAATGTTCAAGAAGGCAGGACAAAATAGTAAAGGCATGGACTCTAAATGCACACAAGCTAGAAAGAGTCCCGGGGCCACCATAGACACCTGTTTGACTGTGAGTAGGTATCCTGATGTGGTGCTGTAGGATAAACACCTGATCACAAGGTCGGTTTGATCTGCAAGGTTGGAGATTCAAACTCACCAGTCACTTCCCAGAAACCCTACATAGGGTTGCTGCTATGAGTCGGAACCAACTCCACAGTACTTAGCAACCACAAGTTATTGATCCTTTCCAAGTCTCAATTCTTTCTTCAATTGCTCCAGGCGACAGCCCTACCTGCATCTGGAAACCCAGAAGACAAGTCCACCTTTTGGGTGACCTGTCTGTCTTACCTCACAACTCCAGTCTTCAGAGCAAAAACTACATGCACAGTGACTGGCCTTATTGTAGGTTTTCAGTAAGTGCTAATGGAATGAAGGAAAGGACAATGAATGCATGCATGAATTCACTTTGTAAGCTACAAAATGGTATTCAAATGCCACATGAAAATATTCTCTGCTTCTGTATCACTTTCTTTTTTCTTTTTTTAAAGTTTTTTTGTGTGTATAAGAGTTAAAGTTTACAGGGCATATCATCAGTTTTACATTCAATAAATCATACATCTTGTTTCATTACAACGATTATACTTCCCTCCATGTACCATCAGTTAACAGTATTTCTTTCTATCCACTTTAGCTTTTTAAGAAACAAACAAAAAACCCCCACTCAGGCATGTATAATAACTTACATCTCCAAAGGGCACATTCTGCAAGTTTGCTCCTGGCCACCAGCTCTTAGTCCCTCTCTTCTTAGTCCATGAATCTAGAGTCCTCAGCCACTCCCC